CCCAGGCCCGGTACAGTAACATAATAATTCAGTGTGTCTAAAGAAAATGGCATATGGATGGTCAAGCAGAGTCTGTGGTGGGCGGGTCAATGTGTGAGTAACTACATCCATGCACTCTGTAGACTGTGTTTCTTTCTCGTTAATCTTGAACACTATGGAAATAAGCAGTATTATCTTAACTAGCTAAACAGTGAGGTGGATCCAGAAACTACATGCTACCAGTGGGGGGAGGAGGGGGATGGCTAGAGGTTAAACTGACAGCATCTGAAGGTCTAAACTCTAAAGGCACGACATACTCACAGACACATCAGTGAGAGCTATCACAAATCACAATAAATACACCAAAAGTGAACACAAGGATATACAAACATTAAATAATAATACGAGGAACAAATCCCCCTCAACCCCCTAGATCCACCCCTCTTCTTAGTAATGAATTTCAGTTAAGCTGGTAAGAGATGAAATCTTTATGGCTCGTAAGAACAATGGTAACGTATTTCTAAAGCTTGAATGGAGAGTAAACGCTTAAGACCATTACACAGACGATCAATATAATGTAAAATTCATTGAACTTCATTTACAAGATGCATTCAATGGAGTGCTGGGTGTGTGTGTGTGTGTGTGTATAATGATGTGTAGTGTGTCTGTACAATGCACAAACTTGTCTTGCAAATAAAATGCTTAACACCATAAATGTTGTGAACCATGGTGTGTGATTATACATAGTGTGTTAACATACATACTGGAGTGATCATACATAAGTGTGTGTGGTCATATATAATGTGTGATAATGGTTGGTGAATCACATACTGTAGTGTGTTAACATACATAGTGGGTGAATCATATATAGTGGGTGAATCATATATAGTGGGTGAATCATACATAGTGGATGCAATCATACACAGTAAATGAATCAAACATGAAAACAAAGTGAGATTCAACACACAAGAGGATGGACTATTTCTCTGGCAGGGACAGATGGATGGATCTGCTGTAGGAAACACTTAACAAAACATATACCTGTACAGAATAATTACAGTATACTGTATACCATAAGTGGGAGAGGCGACACACAGGTGTATACAGTAGGGAGATGAGGCAAGGTGTTGGTATAAGTGTTACCTGGCTGTGTGTCAGGTGGTGGAACATATATAAAGACTACAAATTTTTTTTTCAACTATGTGCATCAACAAAAGATATTTAAATGGCCTTTTCACCCAGCTGACTCATGTCCCTCAGCCATCTTGCTCTTAAACTAGAAACATATGTCAGTGCAAAGAAAATTTCTATGCATTATTAAATCAAAATTTCAAAGGTAAAGAACCCAACTGGAATTTAGCATCCAATGGCTTAACTGGGTATTATTGGTCGAATTGCCTTCCTATTGCCCACTGTGTGTATACCTGCATTACCTTTATACATGATGAACTGTATATAGTACCTGCATTGTCAATATACAAGCTGAACTATACAGTGCACTTGCATTATCTATATCCATGATGAAATGTATAATTACGTTGCCTATATACATGATGAACCAATTGTAAACTTGAAAGAAGATTTTACTGAATAAATATTTACCTATGTACCGATATATATATATATATATATATATCTGTATTTCTTGGTTTTTGCATCATTTCTCATGAGTAGTCAATAAACAAACAAATAAATTATATCCGACTGCCTAAAGTTATTGAAATGAGCCACGGATGTGTTAAGAGGTGCCTCTCTTAAAGGATATACAGTACAGTAAATACATCTCCAGGGAATAAGAATACTGAGACATATATATCTCTCAGTGAAACAACATAACTCACTGGGGACTGTACTGAGAAATACTGTATAATGTACATCTCTCAGTCAAATATGACGAGGGTCACTGGTGCATATACTTGTGCATATACTGTGTCCATATGTCCATATGTCTTAACTGGATGTGATATGAGTGGAAAATGACTGTAAAGTGATGATGATGATGAGTATGATAAACTGATGCAGTCTTTGTTCTCCACTCTGATATGTACAAATACTGAGCAAAGATGAGATTCATTTTCCTCTTCAAACCAAGTCTTTTTTTTTTTCTCTTCACACTTTTCTAAACATAATATAACATCGATCATCACTTGACACTTCAATTTGCTTGATGCTGTGTTTTAAGGTGTGTTTCAAACCTACTGATTTATACATACAAACATCTACTTCTGGTATATATATATATATATATATATATATATATATATATATATATATATATATATATATATATATATATATATATATATATATATATATATATATATATATATATATATATATATATATATATGATGATACAGTAACTTATTTATCTAACTGGTGTGGAGTTTAGCTGAAGAGAAAACAGAAAATGTAAGTACAGTAAATTGGCAATTACTTCATATGCTACAGTACAATGTTAGGGTTAGGTTAGGCAATTACTTTATACAGTGCTGTATAATGTAATGGTCAAGGATTACCTTCATCCTTTACATTTTATGACTGTGTTTCCCCACTTCATGGGTGTTATATGTAAAGAAATACACCTGCCTTAGAAATTTAATCGGTGAGTTCTGCAAAGCTGTGGAGAGAGATGGGAGATTACCTTTACCCTCCCCCCACTTTCTGATTCATATCCAGAAGTGTCACCTACCAATTTCATTTGTTTACCATGGGAGGAGGCTGTGTCATCTACCCAACATTATCTTGGATCATCAGCCTCTTTCATGCCTACACCAGTCAGGGCTAATACCTGTGGCTGGCTTAACACCTCATCAACTGAGGGGGTTACAATCATTCCCTCCCTTATCTACTTGCTTCACGATTACCTGTACACTGCATCTCACTCTGGGATGTCTTTCTTGTGAACACTTTTATCCTTGTATTTATCTGTTTATCGTTTCACCACTCATCAACTCGTTAGCTGTTCGGGTGGTTGGTCCCTTCTGTTACTCCGTTACGAACTCTATTGTCCAGTGTTGGTTACAGGATACAACCGGACATGTTTGATCGGTCACACCCTTCTCACATCTGTCCTAAATCTTAGTTATACAGTATTAACCATTCCCTTACTCTCAACTCATTAACTTGAGGAGAACACGTTAAAGTCCGTGGTGGTACTGTACAGCAGACAGTACTATGCAAAATTCAGACGTCTTTCAAAGTGTTAAAACTAGGGCAATGGACTGAAATATCTGGAGTGAAAGGAACATTGGGGATGTAAGGAAAGGGATCACATGGGGCCTTTGTCCAACGTCAATCAAAACTGTGCAGTGTTAACATACATTGTCAAGGCCCGGCCGTCGAGGAGAGGATTTTTTGGTCATAGATCGGTTCAATATTGTGGATACTAGTGTGTGAGCAGACAAACTGAACTAGTTACTAAACATACCTGGCAAATCACTAATACCACCTAGTAATGGACTGATAAAGGCAATGTGAACACCATCTACTGATAAAGTGTGTTGCAGATATCATAATACTGTACAGTATAGTAAATACATAGTGTATATTTCTCTTTATTCCAACAAAAATCTGGTGTTGTAAATAATAATACTATGATAATAAAGCATGAAGGAGAAGACCTAGGAGGAAGAGAGGGAGGAAGTGGTAGTAAATCAAGATTGAGACTGATGATAGGAAGGCAACCAGGGGTGGATCCAGTAATATAAAAACTGGGGGGGGGGGGTCCAAGGAGTTGTGGGGACACTGTAAGCTCCTCCCAGATATTTATTGAAATCTGACCAATATCATGGGCATTTTGAGGCCATTTGCACTTTATTAGGAGATATTCTGAGATCAATAGTAATTACTTTTTACTATACAAAAACACTTGAGTACAATACTGCATTTAAGAAAGAGCATCAAAATTTTCTGATGAAGAGGGGGGACTGGACCCCCAGGACTCCCCTGGATCTGCCCCTGGCAAGTGTTTGGTGTTGTATACAGGAAAGGATAATGTGTGTGTGTGTGTGTGTGTGTGTGTGTGTGTTTGTGTGTGTGTGTGTGTGTGTGTGCACTAGAATGACAAGACAATGAATGATGGGCAAACTGGATATCATACTATTCACTGTATAGTATAGAGTAAAAAATAAAACACACATGGATACTATGAAGGATCACACACACACAACGACTGTACTGAGGAGGAACGTTAAGTGAAGGGTAACAAGTAGACCATCCAGAAGAAGGCGTCTTATATGAGTATGATAACAGAAGACAATATTAAGCTGATATGTGACTTAATGTGATATATGAGAGTGAGTGAATGTGAGGCGCCGCCGTGGGCAGGCTGATATGTGCGAGAGGTGTTCCCAAGTGACGTTGCTCCACCGATGGACTACAACACAAAAATGATGTGAATAAGCATAAAAGGCATCCTAATCATAAGACAGAGGCGATGGCATGCTCGCTATCCATTCTTGAGAGAGGGGGGGGGGGGATAGTTACAGTCATGGTAGATAGGTCGAGTTGATAGTGTGCTGCAGCAGTGGCACAATTCCAGCTATCATTATGTCATGCCAAGATCCTTAAAGAACACATGGGAGATGCTGTGTCATAGGTGATCCCTGACATGCCACACACACACACACATTGATTGTCACTGTGTTATGCCAAGATGTCTGACTAAGTTAACACTCAAGCTTAGAAGAATAAAGCCCCATCCACCATAATTCCATATCAGATGTTGGCTTTAAGATTGGGTGGATAACAGGCAAGAATTTCAAAGGAAATTAAAGCAGGCATGAGATATTGACTCACAGAGATGTTCCTGAGCTAATCTATCAAGACAAAAAGAGATAACCACAAAAAAGATCCAAATCATAAAGATCCATTATATATATATATACAGTACAATATATATATATATATATATATATATATATATATATATATATATATATATATATATATATATATATATATATATATATATATATATATATATATATATATATATATATATATATATATATACTACTCAACACTGTACAACTGGTATATACACTTAGCACCAAAATAATTCTTGTAGTTTTCCTTTAAAAAAGAAACTTAAAAAAGAAGAAAAAAGAGAAATCAAAGTAATAAAGGACTTTCAGAGAGATAACGGATAGGAAATTTAATGTCGTCTGGCCATAAGCTTTTTCTTGATGGGATTTGAGTTTTTTATGAGGGGGGGAGTAGGGGGGTCATTTCTTTAAGGACGACACGAGTCCATACCATTTCTTGCATTACTGTATATCACTGAACCTGCATCTGTTACCCCACCCATGTATCCACTACCAGTATCTTCATCGTAAATATATCCATAACAGGTCTAACTCTCTTATGATTATGTGTTGTGTAAAGTGCAAAGATGCAACTCATAAAACATCCACTTAACAGGTCAACTATTTGTCATTCCCACTGTCAGTTGATGATGGTGTCTGATCGATCTTTGGGCATTTCTCAGGAGGTTCAATGCTTTCAGTAGTAGTTTGTTCGTTTGTGTTAACTTCAGGTGGATGGACTGGTGACGTGGGGACACCTTGGTTGCCAGCATCTAGTGTGTGTATCTGTGTGTAAGTGCTGGTGTCAAGGTTATTAGTGTTGTCTTCCAGAGGCGGGCACGAATTGTCACTGTTCCCGCCCGTGGACAGTGAGGCACACAGTGATACTTGGCTCGAATAAGCTGGAGGAGGAGGTAATGGGCCAACTGAACATTCCGACTCTTCGTGATTGCCAGTTTCCATTCTCATGTTCGGCTGTTGTAAAGACCCACCAGTGGCACCTTCAGGTTGGCTTTCAGGTACTTGATGAGGAGCTAAGAAGTCCTCCAGGCCGCCTTCTGTATTCAACTGCAAGGAACCTGACCGTGTGGCTGAATACGGTGGCAACATGGACATGGCTTCCTCATAACTCGGTGGCTTTTCGGTGACTAAGAAATAATCTGGCGGCTTTCCCTGGGAAGCTCTCGAGGTTCCTGGTGTGCGTAAGGTGACTTGCGATCGACTCATGGGTACGGTGATCACGTGTAGGTCACCCGCTCCATCAGGATTCACCTTGTAAAATAAGAGCAAGCCCGTGACAACCCCACCTGTCTTATGAGAAATGACTGAGAGTTGAGAGATACACAACTCTGTAAAGTCAAACATGATCCATTTTCTCAACAAATGCCAACCTCTGTCTATCTTAATTTTCTAACTGTAGACTTTATGAAACACTGGATGGTTCTTTTTTATTAAGATAACTTTACTGTTTGAGTATAAAGCATTAGCCCGCTGAGTAAGATAAATTACCGGTACCCCTTTAACACTGTGACTAATCCCCTTTAGTACAGTGTCATCTTATTATTCAAAGGGGGTTAAGAGGGACCATGTACCTTGTCCTTGAAGGTTAACAAAGTACAGTACAGATACAATAGAGTATATGCCTATCTCTCCCAGTTTCATAATTCAGTATCAAAGTACAATCATAATATTACAACACATATATAATACAGTATTACTATCACTAGACACGCACACACATACCTCTGGCAGTCTTACCTCATGGACGGTGCTGGGATGAGGTGTGAGACACATCCAGCGGCACATGGCAGCAATGATGAGGAAGGACCCGATAATGACCAGTCCAACTCCTAGGTAGCGGACAGGCTCAATGTACTCTTGAGCAACACCCAGCCAATTGAGTAGAACACCTGTTACAGTAATAATAATAAAAATAACAACAACAACAATATATATATATATATATATATATATATATATATATATATATATATATATATATATATATATATATATATATATATATATATATATATATATATATATATATATATATATATATATATACATACACCTTGGGTCACTTGTTTTGTTTTTCAGAAGAGGGATTTTAATTGCATCTAAAAGTTTGTTAAGCATAAACAAACAAATGATCCACACATTAACCCAAATAACCTACCCCCAAAAAAATGTAATGTAGGGATGGTTAAAGCATAATTTGTTAACTTCTAAAAAGCTATTCAGTATTGTACAGTCACCCACAAAAGTTCTGCTGCCTCTCCTGCTGTTCCACAAACCCCCAAGAATCAGACTCTTGAACCTGAAATAGTAGACACTGATGCATTATTCTGCCCATAAATGCTTCGAATTCACAAGTCTAAATCTTTGAGGTTTGTGGCTCAGGAAAGGTGACAGGTCTTTAGTGGGTGAATGTCGTTCATAGCGTGGTTTTTATTCAGAGACAGTTTAAGGTGTCAGAGAAGAAGTTATTGTCCTCACACAGCTATGAAGACTAAAATGTATCCAAATTAGACACTAAAATTCATAACAAAGTAACAGAGAACAGACCTATTGCCCAAATGGTTAATAGGCTGATAAGTGATAGAAATTATATAGAAATTGTACTTTATGACTGACTATATTGGAGCTCCCTTACTCACCAATGCAAGAAAGTGCAATCCCATATCTGTAAGCCTGCTGTGTGAAATTTGGGAAGTCACAGACGCGTTGCAATGGTGTCGACATCTGGAATAATACCTAAAATTAGTGTAGTACTGTATAAAACATAAAAAATACACAAACAACATCTTTAATCATTACTGTAATGACATGCAAGTGAAAAATAAAGGTGAAAACAAAATCATGTACCCCCTGCACTAACGAATAACAAACAAAACTCACTAAATTTACTTGACAATAACCAGTTTTGAAGAAGAAATTCATCAATAAATGTATGGCAAACAATTGTCGGCAAATTTCAGTGAACACTTAATAGAGAGCCAGTAAATGCCTAATACTTGCCAACAGTGTGTAACAGAGAGCCACTACATGCCCAGTACTTGCCCAGAGAGCCAGTACATGCCAACGGTGTGTAACAGAGAGCCAGTACATACCAAGTGTGCAAGAGAGAGCCAGTACATGCCCAGTACTTGCCAACAGTGTAACAGAGAGCCAGTACATACCCAGTACTTGCCAAGAGTGCATAATAGAGCCAGTACTTGCCAACAGTGTGAAACAGCCAGTACATGCCTAGTACTTGCCCGACAGTGAATAACAGCGTGTAATAGAGAGCCAGTACTTGCTAACAGTGTGTAACAGAGACGTAACAGACCGCCCAAATGGCTAACAGACAAATCAGTGACCAAGAGAATAAATACCACACACACACACACACACCTTAACCACAAGAGAACTAATCTCTCACTACAACACTCGTCTCTCTCAACTCGACTACACAACCTTGTAATGGAGGGAGGGAGACACACACAGCAGCAACAAGATGGTCTTAATGGTTGTTAACTACGAGGTTTTAAGTCTTTCTTCATTATGGGAAATAGTTTTTCTGTAAACATCACCCCTTGGCCTTCAGTCGGTTACTACTACTCGGTAAAATAAAAATCTTCTGCCTTTCTCTTGCTTCACAGAAAACCTCTTTTATCTTAACAATAACTCCTGTAATTTTGTTAATCTACTTTTCTTTAACGTTTCATGTGGTTATTTTGTTCAGTAGATTGAAGTTTATTTATTTAATTAATCACACATGTTTCAAATCTATTTAGTATTTATGTATGTAATGAAGACAGTGAATATATTGGGATAGTGAAAGTCTAAAAATAAGGCCGAGAAACTTAACCTAACATAACCAAACAATGATAACTAGTAAGAATGCCCTAGAAAGTTCTTTTTATCAACCTTGTACAGATCATTAAAATATCTAGTATAACCACAGAGGCAAAGTTATATATAAGCGGATTTAACACAGACACAGCAGTAATATATTAGCTGCAACGTGTGTGTGTGTGTGTGTGTGCATTATATAACATATGCTACCAACAGACCACTCCTGGCTCTATAAATATTAAACTAACGAGTACAAAAAAATAACAGGTTTATTTACTACTCTACCTATTGTGAGAAAACTTGATGAGAATTCTGTACTTGTAGCTGCAAATTTGGCTCATGTGAAGAATCTCCTCCTTAGCTTATTTCACCTTAGGACTAACTACCTTAACGTTAACCTAAACTAATCTAACCAAACTTAAACACCATCCACCCAAATAACGCTAGAGTGGTTAATCTTTAGGTAAAGTAAGCTTGGGTAGAGATGCTTCAGGTGATCACAAATATCACTCAACCATTTCACTGCATTAGGAAAGTTTTGGTTGATGGAAAAAAAGTATATATATAAAAAATTCCAGTTCCCACGTATAGAATGGACCCGAAATGATTCACTCCTAATATTCATATCCACATTACAATAGTCAAGAGAAAATCATACTGAAAATAAGAAGTTTGTATTTGGTGAGGAGAGGTAGGGTGAAAACAGTTTTACGTGGTGAGAATAGATAATGGGGTGGCTCTACCTAGTAAGGACAGGTAGTAAGGAGCCTCTACTGGGTAAGGAGGTGGGGTGGCGGGGGGGGTGTAATAGGTTCCTGGAACTTAGTGGGTATTTTGTCTGGGCGGTGGATTACTCCTAACCATACCCTCTCCCGCTTCCCTCACCCTATTGCCCAACTCTTGCCCTACCACCACTATTACTACTACCCTCCCTACCACCACTACTACTACTAGCTAAGTCTCCAATCCCACTCCTACTAGCTACTCCACTACAATTACTACTACATACTAGCTAAGACTCCACCACCACTACGAAAACTACTACCCCCCACAAGCATAACCACTACCACATCCACCATAACCATCACCCTCCACTACCACTACCCCTCACAACTACTACCACCACCACTACTACTACTACTACTACTTTTTTTTTTTAACGTGGCCTCCAGCCTCCCCCAATAGCCACACCTTCGCCACCATTTATTTACCTTAATATTAAATATCCTAATACATAAGAAGCTATCCTATCTGTGTTAAATTTGTTGAGCCGCAGATCTATGCGGCATTCAGTGACTGTAGCCTCATAGTCAATATCTGCAGCAGTTGTCGGAGTAGGGGCAGAAGCTCTCGTTCCCCTGAGGCAGAGCAAAGCCGACCGAAGGAGAGAGAAAGACAGTCAACATCTCATCCAGGCTGTAACATAACTTCTGGGCTGCTGCTTTGTTCGAGATCAGCCCGCGAGCCTGGCGTAGAAACACTGCACTTTGGGCCCATCCCACCAGGAGGTTGTGAACACTAGAGGAGTGAAGCTGCCTTGATCAACATTTTGTATTCTCTCCCCGTATGCCCTTCTCTTGTCGTTCTCGTTCCTCCTATGCGCAGCATCGAGAGCTAGGTTACGGTGACAAACGGCCATGGGATAAAAAATCCTGATGTCGAAGAAAGCTCGCTGTCCCCGCGTCCAGAATCCTCGAGCACTGACGTCCACACGGGCTTCGTTAGAAGTGTTTGAAGTCCTATGTTGGAAGATCTCGCCATCCAGTGGAAGGAGGGTCGGTTCTACCATGACGTCCCGGCAGATTTCCTTCAACATATTTGCTGTGAGATCCCTTACCTCGTCATGCCTCATGCATATGAAGCCCCCCTTCTTGCAGACCATGGCGTGATCGCTATCATAGGAAGAGCCACACACGCATTGGGAGGGCAAACCATCTACTGGCCAACCGTACCTTAGAGCAATGGCTACTACTACTACTACTATCATCCCCACCACCACCAAACTGACTCATCAGGTAGTAAAGTATAGCCTATAGCTTAAGCCGCACTACACACTCTGAAAATGGCAACATCGTCTGCTGCAATGAGTGTGTGCACAAGGCAGTATGTGAGTGATTGTATATACAGTACATTATATATATGTGTGTATATTTGTATGTATATGTATTTCAAGGTTAATAGAATAAATCGTATGGTGGGATTGGTGTTTTAGTGTGATAATTTTAAAACCATCAATGTATGCATTTTTTTTTACAGATAACTAGTTTTTTGGCGTTTGAGATGACCATAATTATGCTCTTTTGTGTGTGTGTGTGTGTGTGTGTGTGTGTATTTTCATTATCATTATCATTATTACTCGTACGGTTATTTCTATCATCATTATTCTCATGTGTATTATTTATATCATTATCTTTATTATGAATCTTATAAGAATCATTATCATCATTTTATAATTCTTCTACTTCTTCTTCTGATCATCATTTTGTTTTATTAGTCATAGTTCACGTAATTTGCCACCACAGACAGACAGAACATGTTATGGTGGTAAACATATTCTCTTGTGTATTACCTGATGTTAACCACAAACTAACCCTGGACACACACACACACCTTTCAATACCGCCCAGGCGTTTCAGTCACTCACCTGTGGCGTCCCCCAAGGCACCAAGATGGGACCACTCTGCTTCCTTATGCTCATCAATGATGCCCTAAGAGAAACCCCTGCTCGCTGGAAATATGTCGACGACTCCACCATTGGGATCAGCGTCAACAATTCTGCTCCCAACTATACCGCCCTGGATCACCATCAACCATACCAAGACCATGGTTATGCACATCAACCTCTCCTCCGACATTGTCCCACCTCCTTCCATTACCCTAGGTCCGAACACACTCCAGGTTGTAGATTCCACGAAGCTCCTCGGCGTCACCATAGACAACAAACTAAATTGGAAACCACACGTCAGTGAAGTTGTCAAATCCTCCAGTTTCCGTCTCCACCTCCTCCGCCGACTCAAGTCCCTCGGAGTTCCCGCACACGAGCTCCTCAGTGTATACACAACATTCATACTTCCCAAGCTCACCTATGCCTCCCCCACCTGGTCTTCCTCCCTAAATGCCACACAACGTAAACACCTAGAAAAAGTGCAAAAGAGGGCATGCAAGATTATTCTCTCCCCTTCCTACTCCACATATCAAGAAGCGCTCAACACACTGACCCTTTCGACTCTCACTGACCATCACCACGGCCTCATCTGCAAATTTGGTAAGAAGCTTCTACACCATCCCCGACACCGGCCCCTACTACCACCTGAGATCCCCTGTCCGAGAATTGCTGTTCGACACCACAACCGCATCCAGCCCATACGTGCACGAACTGATCGCTATAAGAACAGCCCAGTCCCAACCATTGTAAAAATTATCAATAACATGTAATAAATCAGTGTATTCACTCCCAGTAAACACTGCTCCCTACACTGTCACTATGTTGAAATGAACTGTAGTTTGAGCTGATCCCATCTAAGTTATATATGTCTTATTGTGTATACTTATGTAACCTTGTATATTATTTGTAATTCAACCCATTCCCCCAAATATGTAACTGTATATTTTCAGCCTTCTGCTGCCAAGCTCTTCAATAAACCGTTAATTATTATTATTATTATTATTATTATTACACACCCCCCTCAATACCGTCAGCTGTTTAAGCCATACTGTATATACATAATTTGTATACTGAGCTATTTGTGTATATTGTATGGTTATATTGTCTAAATAATAATAATAACAATAATAACAACAATAATAATAATAATAATAATAATAATAATAATAATAATAATAATAATAATAATAATAATAATAATAATAATAATAATAACAAAAACAACAAATAATAACAATAATAATAACAAAAACAACAAATAATAACAATAATAATAACAAAAACAACAAATAATAACAACAAATACAACCACAATAGCAACAACAAATAACAACAACCCCAACAACCACAACAACAACTACAACAACAACAATGACAACCACAATAGCAACAACAAATAACAACAACCCCAACAACCACAACAACAACAGCAACAACCACAACAACCCCAAGCACTACTTCAGACGAGACCAGTGATGTGTACAAGAGAGGAAGGAATGACGCAGTAGACTTCTGACAGACGAACCACAACAAGAGACAAAAATACAGACTTTCTTCTTCTTTTATCTATCTCTCTCTTTTTCTTTCACTACCTCTCTTTGTACACTCCATTCTTTCCTTCTTCCTCTTCTCCTCTATCACTTCCTCTCTTCTTGGTCTCCTCCCTCTCTCTTCTTCTTTCTCTCCCTCCCCCCTCTCTTAAGGTCCCTCAAGCTTCACTGGTAGGTGTGAGGATGACTCGAAAATATGTTGCGGTCGAGACAGGAAGTGGATAATATAAGAGAGAGAGAGAGAGAGAGAGAGAGAGGCAACATAATCTATCTTAGAAAAACCTGTTCGCTCTCCTCGTCTCACCCATCCCTTCAACAGAACCCTCACAGAGAGCCACAGCAAAGACAGAGAGAGAGTCACAGAGACCCACAGAGACTCACAGCAAGCTACAATCACACCTCAAGCAACTTCCAACAGGAAATCCTGCCTGTGTCGTCACTTGGACAGGCTGGATGACAAGATGGATGGTGGAAGTCTGCCGTAGGAAAAGATGGAACTGCAAAGACAGAAACTTCAAAAGCAAGACAT